AAGTACCTGCAAGTAGACTGGGAGACTACAGAGCAAGGAAATTACCTACATGGGTGAAAACAAGTGAAACAAAGCCAGAAAAGTATGAGCTGGAAGGAGCCAGAGACCACTTGGTCCTATCCTGTTACATCCCAGGGAAAGGAAGGAGTTAGTTGCCCTTTTAGGAAACTAAATCTCTCCTAACCTCTACCCTGCTCCCTGCCAGACAGAGGACTTTTACCTGCTAGCACTCAGGATGAAGTCCCTGAAGAATCCTTGACAGCCCGGGAAGGTGGGGGGTGGGCAGGGCCCCCCGCTGCTTGGAGGGGCTGCAAGTCTTTCCTGGAGCCTACGCAGGCGCCCCAGCTTGTCAGCTCCCAGCATGTTCAGCACATCTGGGGCCTCACCCAAGAGTGGGCCCCCAGCACCACCAGGGCTCTGGCACATCTAGGGTGGCCGGAAGGGGGAGACGGGGCAAACACAGAATCGACAAAGTAAGGAATGTTTATGGAAAGCTAACTCCACGTCAGAGGCTCTGGATAGTTTCCGAGGCAGGGATTATGTTTTTATTCTAAAGGTAAAGAAAGTGAAACTATAAGAGTAAGCACTTGCTCAGGGTCACTAGAGCTGGGTGTGACTAGGCTTGACTACTAAGCCTGTCCTTTCTCTACCATGGCACAAACCAAGGAAAAGAAGGTGCTAACAGGCTGGGGAGGACATGAGGTGTGGGGCACAGGCTACGGGGCAGATCAGAGTGCTGTTTCTGCTCTGGCACCTAAGTATGAACTACTGCCCAAAGAACCTGCCTAGAGTGCCACCCTTTCCCTGGTGGCCTACAATACCTGTTGGTCACTGTAGGTTAAACTCCTGCCATGGCTATTACCTGAAGAAGTTGTTTTTGGAAAAGCCGAACAAAGTGGCTGTGGCTGCAGGCTGCAGAGAGCTGACCCATCATGGCTCTGAGGAGTAAAAGGCAGGCATGGAGTGTGGGAAGGAGGGCAGAAGAAAGACCTAAGCAAGCAAGCCAGTCCTTGGGCTTCTCCACCATTTCCCAGACTGAAGCAGAGCTGGCCTGCTCAGGGTGTGGGAGGGGCTGAGGAACCCTCTCTCAGCCCCGAGATGCCACCAGGATAGAGGTCCACTTAACCAAACAAAAAATGCCACCTCCGGGTCTGCAGGCCAAGCTGAGGGACAGTCAGCTTCATGGCCTACACGCATGAGCAATTGGGTAGATGAGGGCACTCACTACACAGCCTGGCCAGCTACCTATGCAAAGTCACCAGACTTGCTTAAACTACATGACGGAGAAAATGGAAGTGGAAGGAGTCTTGTCAGTGGCTCGGGCTAAAATGTAAGCAATTCGAATTCAGCCCTTTGCGCTTCAGAGTGGAAGGACCAGACAATCAGATCCCATGTGAGCACAGGCAGAACTATTAAGAACTAGGCCAAAGGAGAAAACAGCTTTAGGATGGCAAGAGTGGGGAAGGCCTGCCTTCAGTGGCTCACTGAGCTGCCTGCTCACTGTCAGAAGCAAGAAGAATGGTGACCAGGGTCTGCGCACCCACCTGATCCTGCTGCCCAATCCCTTCTCAAAGTCCCAGCCGGGCTCCTCGTGGCGATCTTCCCACTCTCGAAGCACCTCGTAGAACACATCCCTGACAGACACACAGTGCCCAGTGAGGCGCTGCACAGCCGCCTCACTCATTCCAGGCGTGGCCTCCTTGCTTGGAAAGCCAAGGCTGGCTCTACCCACGGCCCGTTCCTTAGCCTCCAAATTTCTGTGGAGATGCCACAGACCCAGCTACTGGGCATTACAGGCATGTGCGCTTCTGTGGGCAAGGAAAGTCAATCTGGGCACATGCTTGTCTGAGAAAAGGACTACAGTCATGCGCCATGAGATGGCCAAGCTCAGGGTCCAAGTGCACGAGCACGGAACAGCGACAGCCCTTGTGATAGTCGTCAGGAAGGGCCCAGTGGGACTAACCCTCCACTTGTCCGCCCAACTTCTAGGTTCTGTGACAACAAAACAGCTGCCTATTCCAGAGAAACTGTTTCCTTGTCCTCTCCCCCGAAGTTCCCTTTTTCTTTTCACCTTTGTTTTTTAAAAGTATGAAAGGCCCGGTCACTGGAGAAATTGGCACGATTGTCAGTCTCTGGCTGAAAGGAGACAGCTTGAGCAGGGGGTGGCATCATCAGAGAGACCTGAAACATGGCAGTGACATTAGGACAAAGCCTGATGAGCCATCGTCAGGAGACGTGACCCCTTGTCTTGCCGAGTTAGGCCACAGGTCATTTGATGGTGGAGAGCAGGCTGCCTGAATCTGTGAAAGCTGGGAAGGGCAAGTCCGGGCCAGTGGGCACTTAAGCTGGTGTCACTACCTTGGCAATGCTGCCCTCATAGGCAGCTCGAAGGCGGCCTTGCAGAGCAGGGGAGAAGCACAGCAGCCGCTCATTCTCAGCCAGCAGCTTTAAAGTCCCTTTGTCCAGGTAGGAAAGAATCCTGCAGGGACAAGAACACGCATGACTGGGACCAGACTACACAGGAAGCAGCACCTACACACCACATGCAGCATGTCCGGAACATGGAGCAGGTCACAAGCCCAGGTGTGTATGGCAAGGGCAGGAGCCAAGAGTCAAGGTGATGGAGACAAACAATGATAAAGTGAGACCCTGCAGAGGGAGCAGAGAACAAGCGAGCAGGCCAGAAATGTCAGCAGTGAACCCAAGATTGGCCAGCAAGCATATCTGATTCTTTGAAGGGATAAATCCATAGCTATGACACCAAATTTTTACAGACAAGAAAAGGTCCAGGGGGCACCAAACCTGTGTTAAGCACAAGTGTATCTCAAATGGCCAAAGAACTAGGCAGACAAGGAGTAAGGCCCAAAGGCCTCAGCCAGGGAACTCACTGAAACTGATGCTCCAAAACCTGGACCGCGAAAAAGACACAGTCGTGGATGCTCTGGAACAGCGGGCTTTCCAGGGAATCTAGAATAGCAAGGAGCTGTCAGGAAAGACTGTCCCATCTGCAGAGCCCACTCTCAAAACGAGTCTTGCTCAAAGAGCCAGAGTACCTTGACTTGGTTCAAGGTCACTGTCCCTGGCAGCCATCATCCTCCGTGCAGTAAGGAGCTGAAGGACGAAGAAAAGCTCCAAGAAGAGGTTTGGTACCAGATTTTCTGGATACAAAAAGAAATGCCCTTGTATTGTGTACCATTTGGAGCTGGGGCTCAATTCTGTGTGCCTGGCTGATCCCCTTGCTCAGCAGTGCTGCAGGTCTCTGGGCTCACTCACCAGCAATGCAAGAGGAGTAGACCAGTGCTACCACCTCCAGGCGCTGGCGGGAAGACACCCTGGCGGGGTCTGCGAGCTCAGCCACGAGGCTTGCGGTCCGGCTGGGGAGGGGCGGTCCCGACTCTGGGGTGGGACAGGTGGGGGTTGGTGACTGTTGCAGCTGCTTAGAGCTATGGGGACAGAGAGATATCAGGAGCAGTCAGCCTGGCTTTCGGGCCACAGTCAGTCGGGCCCCTCAAAGATACCAACAGCCCAGGCATCAAACCCAGAGGCCCCGGGGAAATCGCTTTCGAGGAAGAGCCCTGCAGGTCCCCCACGGGGAGGAAGCGGCAAGGCCATACCGCTCCTTCCTGAGCATCGCCCGCTCCTCCTGCAGACTTCTGCACCCCGGGGGAAGGCCAAGGCCCCACGGGCTAGTGTCCAGGGCTGAGGGTTGGGAACTGGGGACACAGCTGATTGGGGGTGAGGTGAAGCAGGTCTTGGGCTTGGATAGTGACCGCTCTTCGCTCACCGGAGTTGGGTTGATCCTGCGTGAAGGCTTCGTCCTGCTGAGAGTGGTCACAGGCTGCCTCACATTTCTATCTCCAAGCACCACTCCCTCTATCACCGCCACTGCCCGGCCTCTCGAACAGGCCTCTCGAACAGGCCTCGCTGCTACAGACCGCTCACCCCCAACCTGTTGGCCTCGACCGCCCGGCCTCGGGCTGGTTCTCACCCTGCGGGCCCGGGGGGCACCGAGCCTACGGGAGGGAACTCCTCCAGGTTGCTGAGGTTCGGCGGATCCGAGAGCGCCGGGGCGGGGCTGCTGGGGCTGCCTGCGCCCTTCGGCCTCCGGGCCCCGGCCCAGGGCGGGCTGTTCCCGCCGCCCCCGTCCTCCGGGGCCCCGGGGACCCAGCGCTCGCGGCCCGGTCCCGCACCCGCACCCCGTCTCCGGCCTCCGCGGCGGGCGAGCGGGGCTTCGGTGGCGGCGGCGGCAGCCGCGGGCTCGGGCGCAGGGAAGAGCTGGCTGCGCGCCCCACGGCCGCCCCGCGCCGGGCCCGCCGACCTTCCGGGCAAGGCTGCCGTGGCGCCCGGGGCCTTGGCGGGGGTCGGCGGACCCTGCGGGAGGACGCGGCCGCTTTGCTCGCGCAGGAAGTTCAGCAGGAACGGCACGAAGTCCTTCCGCAGCGGCAGGAGCGCGCGCAGCGCGGCCTCCTCGCCCGGGCTCTCCTGCGAGGGGAAGGGGAGGTCGGGGGCGTGCCGGCAGCGCGACGGGGTGGCTGGCGCCGGGCCACGCTGGGGACGCCGTTACCTCCGAACTCCCGGGGCCGCGCGCGATCCACCGGACAGCGGCTGCGACTGACACCTCCTCCCTCAACAGAGACACCAAAACGGCCGCCATCCTGTCCGGGCGCTCTGGGCACTGCGCAGGCGCCGGCCAGGTTCTGTCTGCCTGGAAGGGGCGGGGCCGGCGGCAGAGCGGCCCTTGGGCTGCGGGGCGGGGTCGGGGCGGGGTCTGGGCGGGGCTTCGGTTCAGACCCAAGAGAAGAGTTCTGAGATCCCAGTCTACATCTTCCTGCTGGGAGCACACTGACCCTCCCAGGAACTGGACCGAAACCACGCAGGGCGTTACCTAACTTGTCTTTATCCGTCTCAGTTTCCAGCACACACCATCAATTGATTAGCCATTTGTTTTTTACTTATGCTGAGAATTGACTTCTGATTAGCCTTTTTTTTTTTTTTTCCAGAGTCTCGCTATGCTATGCAGTTCAGTTCAAAGTCACTATATAACCCAGGGTGGCGTGGAACTCTCCAGATCCTCCTGCCTCAGCCTCCTGTTTGCTGGGATCACAGGTGTGCACCACAACCCCCGGGTAGAGCACAGAATTCTTGCTAAGAAGCTTTTTACAATCCTCAGGCCAACCGGTGCACAGAATTGCTTGCCTGTAGCCATATTTACTCCTTTATGCATTGTAATAATGGGTTTGTATCAGGTTAATATTTCAACTCCTTCGTAGTTGTAAGCATATTCATAATTAGCTTCTGGGAGATCTCTCGTTTTTATAAAACAAGGCCTTGTTGTGCAACCCTTCTGCTGCGGAAGGACTTGAACTCACTGTGTAGCCCAGGCTGGCCTCGAACTTGCGGTGACCCTTCTGCTTCAGCCTGAGTGCTGAGATTACAGGCTGTGTCACCATGCCCAGCTGTTCTTTTTTTTAATCACGTGGAGATCAAACCACTGAGCTACTCTCCTAGTTTCTCCATTATTTAGATTTGAATTGATTGATCGATTGATTGGACACAGGTAGTTTGGGCTGGCCTTGAACTCACAGCGATCCTTCTGCCTCAGCCTCTGGAGTGCTGGGATTACAGGCGTGCACCATGCCTGGCTCTTGGGTGCTGTTTCTCAGTGAGACCCTTACAGAGGGAATCCAAGCTGAAGAAAACACATTAACCCTTCAGGTCACACTGCAGCCTGAGGTGCACAGGAGTCCCGGGAAAGAAGTGGGGAGCAGGAGTCCTGCTAGTGCTGATACATCTTTTTTTTTTTCCTGTACTAGGAATCGAACTCAAGACTTTGTGCTTGCTAGGCAGGCTAGGTGCCATTGAGCTGCATCCCCGGCCCTAGGAGTCCTGCTAGTGAAACCAGGGTGGTTTTCCACGGAAAAGAACAGAGAGACAGGGTGGAGCAAAAAGATGTTTAGGGCTTTCAGTTCTGTTACAGGAAACCACCTCTGCTTTCACATCTGCAGACAATGAACACCTATTTCTACTCAGGACTGGGCTTCTTTCTAGGTCACTTCTGGTTCCTTTCACTAGCTTTAGAGTAAAACTTGCTCCAAGTTACTCTTGTAACCTGTAGTACATTTAAAACTTTAATTGCAAAAATATTTACCATTTTTGAAATACAAGCCATCAAACAAACAGAACTAGAGTTGCATGCGGAATGAATATTTTATTACTATATTATAAAAATAAAATACAAAATAATTTTAAACAGAACTTAAAACACTGTACAAAGCTTTAATATGGTACAAATGGGAAAATTAAATAAATAATTACACTTTTATGTACAGATGGCCTATACAAAAGCACTCCATGTTTCTGCCAATACTCCATGTCCTTGGTTGCCTGAGCAAAATGCATAAGGGAGCTGTAGGGCGAGCAACACAACACAATACCTTTGAGGTATTTCAAAGAGCAGCTTCTCATCTTTCTGGTCTCATGAGGAGGAGAGGGGACAGAAAAATGGATTAATAAAGTTATCTATTCTAACTCATTGGTCTTGTGCAGGACAAAATTCTGGTTTGTGGCTGAATCTGATCTCACTGCTGCCAATAGCTTGTAACTTTCATGATTTATATTGCAATGAAAACTAGAACCTCCCACCCTTCTCCTAGAGTAAATGACCCAATGAAATAGGAACTCTCTACGTGAGGAAAGGGGTTGGGATCAGGAACTGGGAATCAGAGTGAGGACAGCCTGGCCAGGCTCATCTGATGTACTCTCCTCAGAACTCAGCCTTTCAGTCCAGTGTCACAACCCCAGGAGCCCAGAAGTATTTCCTTTATCTCTTTTTCTTTGAATTTCTGAAAATATTTTCCCTTAGTGAACTAATTTTACTATGTGGTACATAGTTTAAAAAGAAGGTTTTTGGAAAAAAAAAAATCTCCAAACTTACCCCTCCCTAGGTGGCATACCAAAATAAATGAGTCCACCTCTGGTGGCTTTGTTTACCCTCGTAGGCAAGTGAAGAATGCCAGATAAAGTCCCAGAACCATGAGGTGTTGCAGATGACTTTTAGGGATTTGGACTAGTAAGAGGAAAAAGCATCATATGGCAAGGGTAGTCTTTATACAGACTGATTGACTCGATGGTTTTAAATAGATGAGTAAACACTCAGGCACAAAATATGAAGCAGTATTAAAGTACTCAAAGGAGGTAAATCCCCCACCCATCGTGAGTGTAAAACGATCAGCAAATTCTGCAGTTCCATGGGCTCAAAGGTCTGCCTCACACATCCTGCTCTTGACTAAGGGTCTCTGGGAGACAGGGCCAACATCACCAGTGTGGTGCTCATACTGTCACTCCCAATTAAAGAGGAGGTAGCAGCCTGCCAGGCTGCACAGGTCACTGTGCCATGTGTCTCCAGCTGACTGTAAGGAAATACTCCGATCACTAGTGAGTAAATGTTACATCTTTGCCACTCAGCATCCTGACATTATATGGAACCTCAACGTGATCCTCATCTTGTTACATACTCTAATTTTCTGATTCAACTTTACTCACAGGAAATAACTAAATATCAAGCTTACATATTTTAAGAGTAGGAGTAGACTTGTCGCTTATTGCTGCTGCAGCTTTTCTTCTCCTCTGTGATGCCTCTCTGCCATGCCATCCTGCCTTGGAGCCAGCCAGCTATGAACTGAAACTTCTACGAACTTCTGAAGATGATAAAGAACAATTAAAGAAACTTACTGAGTTAACAGAATGTCTGGAATATACTTTGGATGAAGAAAAGAAGAAAAATGGTGAATTACAAAAAGAGCTAACTGGGTTGATGATCTTACGGCAAAACTGGAAACTGCATCATCCAAATGTCTACATTTGGATAAAAATAATGATTTTGTCCAGCAGGAGTTATTATCTATGAAAAATATACAAAAGAAATGTGAAACACTAGAGAAGAATGAAAAGCAGCTGGAACAAGAAACAGTTAACCTGAGAAGTCACATAAAAAAGAATGTGGCAGAACGTGCCCAGGTAGAACAGTATAAGCAGGAGACTGAAGAAAAAGCCAGGAGGGATTTAGTAGAATTAAAACAAGTCAATCTATTTTTACAGAGACAAGCAGCATCTCAAGAATATTTACAGCACTTAACAGAGACTAATAATGCTTCAATGAGAAGTCAGATGGAACTCCTAATTACAGACCTGGAATCAGAGGTCTCTAAAATGAAAACTCAAGAAGAGTCTAATAAAATACAATTGAAAAACTACAGGCAACTCTATCTAGAAGAATTCAACAGAAGAAAGTCATTGTCCAGGGAACTAAACAAGGCTAATGAGAGGCTAGAAGAGGCCAAAACCAAACTTCTGGTGGAGCAGCAACAAAACCGATCATTACTGAGCACTGTTAGTACAAGACCTGTCCTAGAATGTGTCCAAAATCTTAATCACAGTTTGATGTTCCAGAGAAGTTTTCTTCCCCGAGAAAACTTACGGTTCCTCCGTTAAACCCATAGCCTTCAAACAACAGCATGGAGAGCTACCTGACCAAGATGCAGCAAGAGGTGAACAAAAGTATAACCAGAGAAGAGAAGCTACTGGCGAACTTGAATCTGGATCCTTGAAAGTTTCTCCCACAAGGTCTGCTAATATCAAGCCAAGATCTAATTTCAGACACATCACAAGAATATCTGAAGATTTTAAGGAGAAGATATAAGATCTGAAAAGATTATTTATTGGATTTCATACATACATATACATATATAAAACATTTAAATTATTTCCCATAAGGTGTGTAACTTTGTTAAAAGAAAAAAATTTTTGTATCAGATTCATGGTGAAAATGTATATACTATTTTAAACTGTTTCTTGACATCTGTAACTTTTTAAGTAATGTTTGCAAGTAAAAACCAATGTTGAGTTTTATGTACTCAAACTCTGCCCCCACCCCCCAAAAAAGTAGGAGTAGTCGATCACAACTGAGTTAGAAAATGTCTTGATGAGCCAGCCATATCCCGTTGGAGACTTCTCTGGGATTAAAATGTACAGCATCCAGATCCCCCTAAGTGAACAAGGGTCCTTGTCCCATGTCCTGGAGCCACTTAGGGACTACAGGAATTCCACATACGACTCCTGCAGTTCTCACTAGCAATGCTGAGCAACAGATTCTGAAAGCCCCCAAGACTGTCCAGAGGAACAGCTAAAATATGGAGAATATCTAATACTGTGATGAGTTTCCACTCTGCTTACACATACTACGGTACACACTAGAGTCACACTCAGAGAGGACAGGAAGTGAGCTGTTCTACTGATATCTTAGATATCGTGGGGTTCTGCAGGCACTGTCCCCCTGCGGCCTGAGGGCTGGGACTATCCCTAATTCCCTCCTCTCGGTTAAGGTCTGAAGAGGTGCCAGTCGTTCCTGAACTCGGGGTGTATTAACATACAGGACTGCCACAGTAGTTACACATCTTAACCCTATAATACTTCTGTCAAATCATAGACACATAGCTGTTCCACTAATATTCTCAACCATTCCTGTCTCTTCTGTGACAGTTACTAAACCCTTTCTTCTCATAAGCAAAGCCCAGACACACTGGAGATAAAATGCACAGAACCAGAAAAGGGCAGAGTTTAAAAGACTGAATGCAAAGCTTGATTCCACAGTACATGAAAATGACAGAAGAAATTCTCTAAAGCCCTATTTTTGATAGAGAACAAGCAATGAAAAGCTTTTAAAATATGAAGCACTTTGATCTCCAAGACTAAATCTAGATTACCTATAGATAAATGTATTTTCAAACAGCCAGAGCAAGATGCATTTCCCCCCTAAGCCATAAGTCTGAATTCTGGATCTTGTTTCTCCTCTCAGCAATTCCTAATGTTAGATTAGGAATATAAAATTGTCTTCTCTTGGAAAAAAGCACTTGTATTTAATACAAAGCTACTGGGTATAGAAAAACCAATTATGGTTTTAACTATCTGCATCTGGGTTTATAAAACATGCTCCAATTACACTCTTTCCTCGAAGAGAGGCTGCAACTATAAAAACATTAGCATAGCTGTCTGCAGCATGGCAGGCAGCTCTGCTGCCAACCCAAGAGACTCCGGCTCCGCAGACTCCTGTCTAGAACACCGCACAGGAAGCAGCAGCTCAGGAAGACCATCAGGACCACAGTAGGTCTCAACTACCATTCTGCTGCTCAAGACTTGAACCATTTGGCAGCTTTTACAAAAAAATTCACTTTGAAATGTGCAAGTTAAAAATCAGTAAATATCTGTGCCACTGTCAGCAAAACCAGCTTGCATACCACAGCCGAGAATGAGTGCCTGCCTGCCTGCAGGTTAGCATTCAGAGATGATTTACAATCTGCATCTTCCTGTTAAATTTGAGGTGATTCATTTTCCTTCTTTGTTAATCATCACTAGAGTCAAATGCCTTTACACTGCAAAATTACTAGGTGGAGCTTAGGATTTCAACCAGTTCAAAGACCCTGGAGGGCTGGCAGCCTAATCCAAGAGGAAAGGGATTGACCTGCTGCTGCCGTTGTTTTTTCTGTTTGGTTTGGTTTTTTGGTACTGGGGATCGAACTCGGGACTTTTTGCTTGGGAAGCAGGCAGCGGAGCCACTGAGCATGCGCCACCATGCTCAGCTTGAGTGCTGCTACTTCTATCTTCTGTGCCTCCCAAGTAATCTCTGAGACTAGAGAGGCAAAGGCAAGGCCAACTGGGACTTGGCAGCCCACCCTGCTGTTGTGATAGGAAATACCAGGAGTCGAAAGCTGATGTTAACTTCTGTCCCATACTACTTTATTGTAATTTGGTTTGACTTTAGTTAGTGGCCATGTTTCTCATCTGAATTAAAATAACCAAACAGGCTTAAATTACTTTTGGATGATCTGTGACTGAAATCTGAAATACACTAAAAAACTAAAAAATAAATACTAATGAACACACAAAACAAAAACTCTGTTCTCTGTACAGACCTTTAAAATAAAATAAAAACAAAATTCTTGTCAAAAGTGCTAGCTGAGGGCTGCCAACTTCTACTTTTAATCTGAGAGACATCCAACATTAAAATTGTAAAGGAAATTTCTCTAGCTAAGGACAGTACTTATAATTAGTCTGTTTTGAAAGTGTCAGAGCAGAAACATCTTTGGTTAACTCTTTCCTCTACATGCAAAATAAAATATTTTACACAATGAGGCTTTTATCTCTGGATCTTGATGAGTTTGTTAATGCTACTTAGAAAAGCAGACAACACAGTGGAAAGGTTGAAAAACAGAAGGAACAAAAAAGACAGAATACGTCAGTTGCCATCACTGTCATTGTGACTACCAGCAGAGAAATGGCAGTCAGAAAACAAACACAGAAAGCGACTTCAGCTTTTCTACTGGTTACTACTAGCACATTTCTGACTAGATGGGTCAGTATTTAAACTGGCTACTTTAATCACAATTTAGTTACTGCAACAACAACAACAAAAAGAAAAAGAGAGAGAAATAAGAAAAGAAGAAAGGAAAGGAAAGGAAGAAAGTGTCTTGCTTATCCTCTGTATACCTCCCACCCCACCACAAAGTGGAAAAGGCCAAAGTAGGATGATAGCAACTTTGAGGAAATGTTTTTAAAATCCTTTTCCATCCGACCCGTGTTTATAATCCCCATCTGTCTACTCTAACTGTAAGAGAACTATGTGATCAACATGGACAAATCTTAGTATTGCAAGCATGTCCCTATAATTTCCCCCATTAATATCTCTTTAAAGTGAAAATTAAATAGGCTATTTTGGCTCGTTACAGACTGTCAACCTTGCATTAGACACAGGGAAGGCAAGAAGAGTCTGAGGCCTCACAGGCCAAGAACATATTTTCAGAAAATGAAGACAGGTAAAGCCCAAGGTGTCCACGAGGCACACAATAGAAAAGGAATTTCACCATCCATGAGCTTGAAATTACAAATGGTGAATGAGAAAGAATGAGTTTATATAAGCAAATCTCTATATATTTATAAATATTTATATAATTTACCATGAAGACATGCAAGTAGTGTTATGGCAACTATTATACAACATAATACAGAAGGATCATCTTCCAATATTACAGCTGCTTTAGATAAACAGCAGAAATGTCTTATCTACTGTAGTGATTCCTGTAGTGAGTGAGACTAGAGAGAAAGTAAGATTCCATACTATGCTACATTTCTTATGGGAGACCTATGCCTCAATATAGTGTTTTGAGTTTGTTAAAAACCTCGCTACAGAAAGAGAACAAGATAAGTTCGGTGCAGCTTCAGGGCAGCTTTGATGCAGCATTAAAATATGTTCGTTTAGTGAGGAAATATCTTTCTTTTCCAATTCAACTGTATTAGGTTCGGCAGCAAATACAAGGTCAAAGAGAAAGCACAGATGTTTGCTAGAAGGCAGATTTCAACAGCAAGCAGACCAATTTACTAACCATAACAAGGTCTTTACAACACAAAACACTGGCAGGGTATACAAAAGCCCATTTATAAAACCTGTACACTTTAATTGTGCCTGATTCTTGTTAGCAGAATAGTGAGTTTAGAACAAATACTAACGTTACAGCTTCATAAATTGAGATTACATGGAAATCAGGCCAAGAAGCCCAACTACTGAACTAAAGCACAGAAAAAGCAGAATAAAACATTAAAAAATATTTAGCCTAAACTTATTTCCCCAGATATTCATACCTTATTGGCTAAATGTATAAAACACAAAGTTTAAGATTATAAGCCTCTGTACCATATTTAATATCTATTTTTCTTTCTAAATCTCTAAAAGCACAGTCATATTCCCAAGCATTGTGCTTCCCTAGCATCATCTTAAAGAAGATCTGGGACCCAGAAGACTCAGGAGGCATCTGTTCTTGTGAGGTCTTCCGCCAGGAGGAGGCTTAACACGCTGCAAGCGGCTCCTTCTGTCTCTGATTCGAGGCCAGGCCCCCTTCTGTCCTCTCTCTGGACAGTAATGCCTGCACTGTAGCTGTAGTCAGACTTTTCTGTCCTTTACCTAAGCTTCTCAGTTACTTTTCACAATATAAAAGTACTGGGCTAAGAACTGTTGCTCCAAAGAAAAGTATTAGGGGACTAAAAGAAAGGTAACTGTTTCTGAAGTTCTCAGTATGTGCTGCTAAAGACCTGTCAGGTTGCACTGTGAGAAGTAAGAACGACTGGGTTAGATAAGAAACAGTAACTAAAAAAAAAGTGAAATCCAAGAAGGATACTTGGAGTGAGGCAAAGTAAAAGTGTGGACCCTCAACACCCTGAATACCTCCGTGAACCAAGTACCAGCTCCCTCACAGCAGGCTTCTCACACACTGTTTGTATCTGTTCTTTGAGACAGGGTCTCTCTGTGCAGCCCAGGCCGGCCTCGAACACACTGTGATCCTCCCGCCTCAGCCTCCCAAGTGCTGAGATTACAGGCGTGCGCCACCATACCCAGCTTCTTATATACTCTGATATCTGAGCAATAACTCCAAGCTTGGGAGAGTGAATGAAAATACCAAACACTTGATAGAATTTTAAGAAGAGGGTTAAAAAATTAGGTGAACTCCTTAAAGTTTCATTCTGCAGGGCTGGGGATTTAACTCAGTGGTTCTGGCACCTGCCTCACAAGCAAAAGGTCCTGAGTTCGATCCCCAGTACCAAAACAAAACAAAAAACGTTCACATCATTCTGCTTCCTACCCTCTTATTTCAGAGGCAGCTAGAAAGTGTCAGCTTACTCAGGAGTCCCCCATGGCTTTTGCCAGAAGGTCCCTTCCTGTACAAAGGTGTGGATTCCCATTGCCTACTACCTGCACCTTAGGTACTTTCTTACCATATATTATGTCTGCTTATAAATAACTCCTCAAGTTTCTCCCTTTTGTAAGGGAAGAGCACATTGGTTTTTTAAATAGACAGTACGGGGGCACACATGCATCAGGTCAGGAGGAAGAGCTGCAGCCAGCTCCTATCTGCTGAGCTTGCTGGCGGGCTTGCTCTTCCCTGCGGGGGCTTTCAAGCTGCCCGGGTGGTGGTGGAGGCCGCCGGAGCCTTTGGGGCTGCTCTTGCTGGGTTTGCAGTGCTCTTGCTGGCAGGACCTCCTGGAGGAGGAGGACCCTGAGTGGCTGGGAGGGGACTTGCTTCTCCCCAGGTGTGGGGACGAACTCCTCTGCTCGTGGTGGGGCCGCCCAGCCCTGGATGGTGAGGAACTGGACGTGCGAGGCAAGGACGAGCTCCGAGGAGAGGCGCTAGGGCTCCTGCGAGGGACAACTGGGCTCTTGGGTGGTGTCTTGGGATTGTGTGGGGATCCTGGGCTCTTGGACTGAGTAGTGCTCCGGGGCTTCTGAGATCCATTTTGAAGAATTTGAGCCAGGCGGGAGAAAAGGTCTGAGTCAGAGTTACTACTCCCTAGGACTCTGTATCTGCGTAGCCTTAAAAGAACAGAAAAGACTTATTTTCATTTTAATTCATTCCAAGTGTGCCTAAAGTCACAGTGTGCCAAATCACAGTATGTAAGTAATTAAATGGGCTGGGTGTGGCAGTGCACGCCTGTAATCCCAGCACTCAGGCTGAGGCAGGAGGAGTTTGAGGCCAGCCTGGGCTCCAGAGTGAGTTCAAGGCCAGCCTGAACTACATAGCGAGATCCTGTCTCAAAAAAAAAAAAGTGAGGGATAAATACAGGTGTTTTTAGACAGAAGCTGATATAGCAGTCAGCAGTAGAGCTTGGTGGTAGAGCACATGCTGTGCACAAAGCCCTAAATCCAAATCTTAGCACCACACAAAATATAAAAAATAAGGCCAGGGATGTAGCTTAGTGGTGCGGCCTGGCAAGTGCGAAGCCCTCAGTTCTATTCCTGGCATCAAAAAAGAAAAAAGAAAAAAATGTCCAAAATATAAAAAATAAAAATAAAGCTGAGGTAGTTCATTACCACCAGATCTGTCCTGCAAGAAATGCTAGAGTTCTGCAGACTGAAATGAAAGGGCACTGACCAGGGATTCAAAGCCATATGAGAAAATAAAGATCTCAACACAGACGCATATATGACCAACTAAAAAGCTAGTATTTTAACAATGGTTTGTAATGCTTTTTGTTTTCTGCATGATTTATGAGATACTTTTTATATAAAGAATCAATCTAAAAATAGTATTCTAATTTTGGTCTGTAACTCCACTTTTTATTTTCTACATAGTTTACAAGATTAATGTATTTATAATTATAAACATATTTTTGGACACACTACATATAAAGATGTTAATTTAGCTCAGTGGTATTGCGCCTGGCTTGCAAGCACAAGGCCCTGAGTTCGATCCCTGGTACCAAAAAAAATAGAAGTTAATTTTATGGCCATTAACAACTAAAAGGAAGTGGGGATAGAAATTTAAAAGAGCAGAATTTTTATATATACTTAAATTAAGCTGGTATAAAGCCAAGTTAGTGTTACAACTAAAGGACAGTAAATGTAATCTCATGATATCCACAAAGAAAACAGCAATAGGAAAAGATAAAGAATTTAAGTATTTCATTACAAAAAAAGCTCAACTAAATACTGAAGACAGTGATAAAGGAAACAAGGGACAAAAAGCTATAATGAGGTACATAGGACATAAGCAAATTCACAAGCAAAAATGACGGGAGTCGCCCTATCAATCAGCCTTCTAAAAAGAGGAGATTCTGGCACACAGTATAGCACGATGCATGCTGAGGAAGAGAAGCCAGTCACAGTGAACACTGTATGGTTACTCTCATGAGTTCCTGACGTGATCAAAATCAGAGAAGCAAGCAGACTAATGACTGCTGGGCTGGAGTTTATTTTTTCGTGGGTATAGTTTCAGTTCTCTATGATAAAAAGTTATCTAGAAATGGACAGTGGTGATAGTTGCACAACAAAAAATGAACAAATTTAATACCACTGGTTAAAATGGTAAGTTTTACCAGGGCATGGTGGTGCACACCTATAATCCCAGCACTCGGAAGGCTGAGGCAGGGGGATTGCTCTGAATTCAAGGTCAGCCTGGGCTACATAGCTAGTTCAAATCCAGCCTAAACTACATAGTGAGACCCTGACTCAAAAAAAAAAAAAAAAAAGAAAGAAAAGAGAGAGAGATGGTAAATTTTATGTTATATTTACTGTGCCCTATACCTCAGTTTTTAAAATTGGGAAAAAAAGAATTAAATATCTCAATCTGTACTATGCTAGTAAGTCTGTGAAAGGTAGGAAAGAAAGCAGATGCTCAAAAGCAGGCAAACAGAAATGCTTCCCCTAGTGTTACTACAATCCTGAAAGGAGATGAACTGGACATGGCTGAGAGCGGACAACCTACCTGGCTTCAACTCCAGGCCTTGCAGGTGGCTTCCCAGGCGGTGGCCGAGGCAAGAACTTTGACGAGGGTGAGCTGCTAACGGGATCTGTGCTGACCCATGAAACTGGCCTTGGGATCTTGCTCTTTCTAGCCTGGGAGAGGAGGGGTGGCAGAAAGCTATCTTCCACAGACCTGCTCAGGGTAGCATCTACTACCAGTCTGGAAAAGGGCATGAAGACGTCCTCCTCGGAGAAGGGCACAGGGACAGCAGCAAGCTTCTCCTCCAGCACCTTCTCAGAGGCACTGGAGAGGTCGCCGAGGAGAGAGCGGAACTGCCTTTTCTCCACCAGCAGTCTCACCAGGTCTGGCTGGTAAGCTTTCTTTTGGAGGAGCTTCTCTTTCGCAGAGACAGGAGAGGACAACTCAAATGCTGACTCTATCTCTTGCACTAGGACAGGGATCCGACTGTGTCTGGTTCCAAGGGAGGACCTGACCATGTCCTTCCGGGCTGGGGGAGCACACTCATTCTGGGAAACACAATGAACCAGCTCTCCGTTTCTCAGGGCACTTTTCTCTTTTTTATCCTCTTGGCACAATAAAGCAGAGAGGCCTCCTTGATGCTCTGGCAGGTCTTCTGTCTTAATGTCATCATTCTTACATGGTCTGCTTTTCTGCATTGGTGCCACCTGGCCTTGCTGTCCTTCAACATGTGGGTCAATGACTCTTGGCGAAAATTCAGAAGTTCCAACTGCCAGGAGCTTCATGATCTCATGATTTCTGTCCTGATTTGGCAACACACTGAAGGTCTGTGTCCTGGTCACCTCGAGAGGGTCAGGAGTGGTGGAATGATCCTTTTCCACAGTCACCCTGTCTCCTCGGAGGGCAACCTCAACACAGTGCTCTTCTTTACTTAACTTTTCATCTTCATGGTCTGACCCTAGAAGAAGGCTTTTCTCTTCAGTTTCCACAGGGAAATTCTCAAATTCCCTCACAACTAGTCCGTCATCATCAGGAAGGTCTTTTGGTCCCAGGTCCTGAGATCTGTCGCTCTCTCTAACACAGGGTGACATCATGTCTTGGCCAACATGATCTATCTGAAGCCCTTCACCCTCTGTCACAACCAAGCCAGAGAAGTTCTCCCTTGGAGAGTAAAGTTCTACAGTGGGCTCCATGGGCTGAAGATCCTTCTTTTCCAGATGCTGACCATAGTGAAAGCTTCCTGAGGTCGACTGTGTTGATGCCACAGAAGGTCTAGGAATTGTAATCTGGAGAGGAGGAGAAAAAAATGAAAATACAATTTGTGAAATATCAATCAAGATACATGATTTCAGGCTTAATTTTCAAATCCCAATTTAGAAGAGGAACTTAGATGTTGACCAGATCTACCCAATTCATATTAAAAATAAATAATTATAAGCTAGGTGTAGTGGCATACTCCTGTAATCCCAGCACTTAGGCTGAGGCAGGAGGATCGCTGCAAGTTTAAGGCCAGCCTGGGACACAGAGTGAATTCAATGCCAGCCTGAACTACAAAGCAAGACCCTGTCTCAAGAAAACACAAACAAAAAAAGACTTAATACCTAATAAGAATGCCCTTAAGACACCCAAGGTTTGCTCACTTTGGCATTAAACAGCAACAATTAGAAAAATTGTTTGTTTGTTTGTTTTTCTGGCACAGGGTCTCACCATGTAGTCCAGGATGGCCTTGAACTCAGAATCTTCCGGCTTCAGCTTCCTGAGTACTGAGATTATAGGTGAGCACCACTGCCCAGAGGAAAAAAGTCTTCTTAAGAAATCAAATAATGGTGTTCATTAAGTGATTGGGCTCAAATTATAAGAAAAACTATAGGAATTGATCTGAATTCAAAACCAAATTAATTTGGAGCCTCTTTGGAAGATTTATCTCCAACTCAATCTCTAGTGCAAAAATACAGGTGTGGCACCAGAGCCAGCAAGGTGTCTCAGATCTACCTCGTTAGGCTTGGGATGAGGCCTGATCTATGAGCAGTCCATGGAGAGGCCACCAAACCCTACAGGAGCTCCCAGAGGGCACAGGGTGCTGAGCGTGTTCCAGGTTCATCTGAGACAGGCAGCCAGGTTCATCTGAGACAGGCAGCTCGTACAGTGAGCACAGATGGACTGTGACTTGGGGAAGAGCGTGATTCGCTGTTGTGATGTCACCCTGGGAGGCTGTCTCATACTTCAATCTTTCTTAATGATGCCAAAATACAGTCCAACAGATGGCAAATTTTCTAGTATTTTAAAAGTACTGAAATCTAAAATTTATAGTAATTTACTTTGTGGTGGCACTGGAGAGTGAACTCAGGGCCTTTTCACTGAGCTGGATTCACAGATCTTTAAATTTTTTTGGCGGGGGACAGGGGCTCACTGAACTGCTAAGTTGTCCAGGCAGGGCTTGAACTTATGACCCTTCTGCCTCAGCCTCCTAGAGTGCTAGTATTACAGATATGGGCCACCACCCCTGGCCTAAAAGTTACTTAAGACCCAAAAGTGACAATGATCAAAAAAAAAAGCAGATATGAAATTATATTAAATGCCAAATAACAAAGGAAATGAATAATCATATTCAAAATAAACCAATATTAGTCACCTAATTATTATATATAAAATACATCACTCAAAATGAACTCAATGGTGTTTTGTTTTGTTTTGTTGAGGCAGGGTCTCACTATGCAGTTCAGGCTGGCCTTGGACTTACTATGTGGCCTAGGTTGGCCTAGAAACCTCATAGTGATCTTCCTGCCTCAGCTTCTTGAGTGCTGGGATTACAGGCGTGCACTACCATGCCTGGCCTCAACAGTGTTTATAAGATAAATACTCGGCTGGTCTTCTCAGAAGATTAACTCATTTTAAATTAGAATATAAATGTATGTATATGCATGGTATTAAAAAAAAAACCCTGGGGCCGGGGACTTAGCTCAGTGGTTCCACTGCCTGCCTGCAAGCTACAAGGTCCAAGTTTGATCCCCAGGTACCAAAAAAACCAAAAACCCAACAACCAACCAACCAAACAAAAAAACCCCTATAATCCCAGCACTTGGGAGGCTGAGGCAGGAGGATTGCTGTGAGTTTGAGGTCAGCCTGGGCTACATAGTGAGTTCAAGATCAGCCTGAGCTACATATCGAAACCCTGTCTCAAAAAAAAAAAAAAAAAAGGAATGACAATGTAAAAAAAATAAGCCAGGCATGGTGGCATGACTGTGATCCCAACATTCTGGGAGGGTGAGGCAGGAAGATCGAAAGTTCAAGCCCAGCCTAGGCAAACTAGTGAGACCATATCTTTTTTTTTGTTTTTTGTTTTCCAGTACCAGGGATCAAAATTCCTTGTGCTTTCAAGGAAGGTGTGGCACCACTGAGTTAAATCCCCAACCCCTGTATCTCAAAATAAAAACAAATAAATAAAAAAATCTGGGGAAGTAGTTCTGTGTGAAGATCCCCAGGTAAATCCTGAGTACCACCAAACAAACAAACAAACTATACATACATACATATATATATATATATATATATATATATATGAAGACAGGAGAACTTATTTTCTTGAAAAGTTGAGCAATTATGATAACCTGCCTAAATTACTCTATTTCCACATAAATTTATAAAATATTCCTAAATAATTTTTACAAATTCCATTTCATAGATTCCTTATATTTTACATTATATATACAAAACTATATCTATATACAGATACATATCTTGAGACAAAGTCTCACTATGTGACCAGACTGGCCTCACATCTGTAACCCTCCTGCCTCAGCTTCCCAACTGCTGAATTATAGGTGTGTTCCACTGCAGCTGCCCCTTTCCCTGATATCCCCTTCTTTCTACTTTCATGTCTTTTTAAAAAAATTATCCTTTGGTCTTTTATTTAAGGATTGTAATGTTACTAAGATAAAAACTTGGAGAAATTTAACATTCACACCAACAGATTTTCTTTCTTTTTTTTTTTTGGTACCGGGATCGAACTCGGCTCCTTGTGCTTGCGAGGCAGGCGGCAGAACCACTGAGCTAAATCCCCGGCCCTCCAACAGATTTTCTTACAAATGAAGGTACGTGGTATACAAAACACCTGTATCTCACTTTGGTTTTATGGACAAAGAAAACAATTTAGAAGAGATATAGGGAGTAGAATAATTTGTTGGTTCCTAATATAGCCAAGAATTAGCTCAATTATAGAAATAAATTCCTTCCCTAGTGCCACAAACAAACAAACAAACAAAAGAAACAAATTCCTGGCCTGCTAAGTAAATTAACTTTTAATTATTCAAATTTCTTGGGCCACTCAAATTGCACTATAGGCATTTTCTTTTTTTGGTCTTGTTCTTGTTCTTTTTGAGAAAAGGTCTCCCTGTGTGGCTCAGGCTGGCCTCAAACTCATGTCGCTCTTGGCTCAGCTGCCCATGTGCTAGAGTCACAGGTGTGGGTGAAGCAGGAGAATGGGGGAGTGGTCTTTGCTACAGAGGTAGGTGAAATGGGAAACCTAAAGCTTCGAGGTCAAAGAAAACAACAACAAAAAAGATTTTTCCCTTTCCTTTTTTGGGGGGTGGGGGTACTGGGAATCCAACTCAGGACCTCGAACTCACCAGGCAGATGCTATGCCACTGAGCTACAGTCCTTGCTTTTTTTTTTTTTTTTCTTCAATAAAAACAACCCTACAACATCTATTGCTGGTGCAGTAATAACATAAGAGTAATCAGAACAATATGATGGGTCGGGATTTAGCTCAGGGGCGCCATGCCTGTCTCTTGAGAGCAAGGTCCTCTGTTTGATCCCCGGTACCAAAAAAAAAAAGTTTTACAAATACTCTCAAGGCAAACCACTTAAAAGTGCTGCATCTTTCACATGCTACCATAACTGCCACTGCCACCACCTCACTTCACCAGTGTCTTAATTCACTGATCCTTTCTAGTTGGAGATACTTTATAGCAGAGTAATATTATCTCCTTTCAGCATGATCCGACTCAGTTGTTTTCTTGACTTTGTTTTAGGATGAATTTCTTCTGCATCCTCTAATACAAGGTTCATGTACTCACAAAGCCCTCTCTCCAAATATTCACTAGCTCATACAGCCACACCTGAACCTGGGACCTATACATTTTTCAAATATCTGTACAGGAGGTTCATGGGCTGCACCATCACCTTCTCCACTTTCTGGCCCTGCCCTCGTACGCCATGGCCTTCCTTTCTTTTCTTTTCTTTCCTTTTTTTTTTGTGGTACCAGGGATTGAACTCAGGACCTTGCACTTGCCAGGCAGGCGTGGTGCCACTGAGCTCCATCCCTAGCCCCCTTCTTCCCTTGTTTTTAAGGGGGGTTGCAACTACAAATTTGTAGGGTACTAAAATCATAAGCAAGTCACAGCTCAGACTAGATTTCAGCCCCCTTGTCTAGTTCTGTTTATAATATAAACTACCTGCATGACTGGGCAAAGCAGTCCTGGGAAAGAGAAAAACTAGAAAAATTCTGGCTGGAGAGGTAAATAGGCACTTACTTCTTTATTTTGGCACATAGGCAAATTCCTCCAGAAGAGTTCATAAAATGAAGCTTCATTGGTAACTTTTCCTACTATTTTTCACCTGCATGTGAAATCGTGTTCCCATAGGAAATGTTTGAGCTTGGATAACCATGCTGCTTCCGGAGAGTCTGGAGAGGGCTGCCTGACAGCTGGGAACACTTGGTAACTCCCACTTATATGCTTGGACCCAAGGATTTCTAAGGCTCCTTATTGCCTGGGGCTCTATAGGGCTGTGCTGGCCATCTCCGGCCTTTCTGGAGCTCCTCCAGCTCATAGTCATGGAGTCAGAAAGCACTGCTTACTGATGACAGGGCAACAGGCAGCTCCTACTACACACTGAGACAGAAGCAGCAGGGTTTCCTAAGAGGGGTGGGGTCCTCTATGAAGACTGGCATTGCCACTGCCTCAACCTGCTTGGCAAAGTGCAGACTCACTCAACCCCGGACCTATGAAAGAAGTTCTGCAGGGAGGACTGAAATGCTGTATTTTATTTATTTAAGGCAGGGTCTTGCTATATAGGCTCAGGCTGACCTTGAACTCACCAAGTAGTCCAGGCTTGGCCTCAATCTCGTGGGGATCCTCCTGCCTCAGCCTCCTAAGTGCTGGGATTACAGGCGTGTGCAACCACGCGCAGCCTGAAATGCTGTATTTTAAACAGTGGGTGTTGAAGCTGAAAAACTATAACAGGATGTAAAACAGGAGAAATTTCTGGGTGGAGATTACATAAGGAGGCTTAGGACTAGTAACAGTGTACAAAATAGAAAAAAAACTGCCAACAGTTAAATACAAACCCTCCTCAGCTAATGTATAATAAAAATCTCTAGGATTGGGCCAGGGATTTAGCTCAGTGGTTCTGCCACCTGCCTCAGCAAGTGCAAGGTCCCAAGTTCCATCCCCAGTACCAAAAGAAAAGAATGTCTAGGATTATAAATATTTTAGAAATCCTATGTACACAAACTTAATTGTGGGACCTAATTATAAATGTTATTCCAAAATTAGATTATAACGTTATTTCATGTACAGAGTGTAATATTATGAAAGTAGCGTGTGGTAGCATGCACTTGTAATCTCAGCACTTGGGAAGCTGAGGCAGGAGGATTGCCAGGAGTTCGAAACCAGCCTGGTTACACGGTGAATTCAATGCCAGCCTGGACTACATAGTGAGACCCTGTCCTAAAAAAAAGAAAGGAAAAACTTCTAAAGAGTTGTATTTGTTCCAGGCATGGTGGCACATACCTATTGTAATCCCAGCACTGAGGAGGCTGAGGCAGTTTGAGGCCAGCCTGAACTACATACCGAGATCCTGTTTCAAAACCATAAAAAAAAAAAAATTTTCATATTGGAGGGTTGACTATATTATCACTATACCTGTTAGACAAATTTAAGCCTCTGTCACGGAATCTTAGATGGTTGATTGACTGTGAGTCTTTTGTTAATAGTACCATGAGTGGGTAACAGAATAACAAGGAAACAAGTCTCTTACCGCTGTCAAGGGTCCTTCCGCTTGCGCCTCCATTGGACTTGTGGGTGTCGCAGCAATAAACTGACTAGTAGGCCCGGCCTGGAGCTCCAGTCTGTCTGTGCACTGTTCTGAAGGAGCTGCAGCAGGGTACCCCGCAGACAGCCCTAAGACCACACCTGAAGGCTCCTTCCCTAAATGATCATTTCCTACCCAAGGACCTAACTGTAGCTTTTCATCTTGAGGTGATTCTTCTAGAACTTGAAGCACTTCTGGCTCCTCATCAGAAGGGCTTGCAGTTGTTTTATGACCTAAAGCCTCGTTTGTCCTAAAATCCTGAAGGTCTTGCTCCTTGTCCACAATCACCCATTCTCTGGAGTCAACTTCTTGTTTGCAAGAGCTCAGGTTAACAGCTATAAATCCATGGCTGCCCCCACCATCTGCCTGCTCAGGGGTGTTGGCAGAGGCAGGTTTGGAGGCATCTGGAAGATACTCCTCATCATAGTGCCAAACGTGGTCTGTGCGGGACATGGCAGGAAGACAAGGCTTCTGAAGCAGAGCAGGGACAGCAGATCCCTTTCCTGTATGAGAATCTTTCTGCATCTTCTCCAGGCTTAAGAAAAAGGAGAGAAATGACTCAACATGTATCATATAACCCATAAGCTCTATTCAGAATTACTACTCAGAGGAGGAAGAAACAGTATTATAAAGGGTAAGGAGAGCTTCACAGGGCTGAAATGTTCTCCACCTGCCATGGTCCTACTTTGGAAGGTGGAGCTCAGGTCTTTCTCAGAATTACTTCCTTCTCAGACTGATTATTTACCAAATCAAGCATTTACCCTCACTGCACCCTGTATTACTCTTCATCTTGGCCACAACTCAGAATGTGTGAAAATACTGTCCCCTATTGTACTGCATCCCCACCTCCCCCAGCTTCCAGTACTAGGACTTAGCCCAGGGTCTTCACACAGAGCAACCCTGCCAGTCATTTTTGTTTTCCCGGTATGGGGGATCAAACTCAGGATACTGCACTTGCCAGGCAGGTGCAGCACCACTGAGCGACATCTCTGGCCCTACTTTTAATTTTTTATTTTGAGACAAGGTCTCACTACTAAATTTCCTGGGCTAGGCTTGAACTCATGATCCTCCAGCCTTAGTCTCCCAGACTGCTGGGATTACAGGCCCAATTTAGTGCATGTTTTTGATCACATCAAGATTTAGATACATACTTGTATCACATAGCTACAATACAGAATGGTTACCATGTGAGTAAGAAAACACAGATGGGAAGCACTGTTTAAAATGGAAACGAAGCCCAGGCATGGTGATGGGCACCTGTAACGCTAGCACTCAGGAGACTGAGGCCATAGGATCACTTTGAGTTCAAGGCCAGCTTGAGCTACATAGCGAGACCCTGTCTCAAAGAACCAAAACCAAACGAACAATATATACATATACATACGATAAAATGGAAACTGGGGATTTAGCTCAATGCAATTCAAACTCCAGTACTGCTAAATAAATAGGTAAGAAACTATGCAAGGCCAGAAATGGCTAAACTGTCTTGAATACAGTAATTTGTCCTTCTAACCTTTCACTACCACCAGAGTAGCCATCAGAGATATACCACTTAAGAATATAAATATTTAAGGTACTTAAGTCTTAATTTTTCTATAATTCATACCTTTGTCTCCTGTTACCAAATTTTAGGGATAATATGATTCATTCACCCTGAGCTACAAACAGTCATGACCTATCTTTGTACAAATGCTCCACTTTCATCTTTCCTAGCAGCTCCTATAACCACAGGCTTTGCTACAGCATTTGTAATATTAGAAAAGGATTCAATGAAGAGTCAGGATGATGATGATGATGTGATAACTATAGACATGGACGAACAATGAGGGCTTAATAAAGTCAAAGTTACAAAAATCCAACAATTTCTTTAAGACTTTACATAATAGAAATACTGACTTTCAGGAAAATGGAAGAGTGGTGAACAGCAGAGAAACAGCCTCTCCAAGATTTGCATTTCCCATGCTGGAATATAGTAACGTGATGAAGGAAAGAAGGCAGGAAGTGGGTCCTGAGGACCTAACAAGGATCTGAAGTGAGAAGTGAAGCCCAAAGGAACAGCAAAGAGAAAGAGCTCAACACAGAAAGAGGTAGCAAGTGGCACTTTCTCCTTGCACCCTGATTCACTGCATGGGAGGGGTGGCTTAACCATCCAGACCCACACTACCGGGTCCCCAGCATCCTAGACTACTGGGAACATCAGAGGCCTCCACAGAGAAACATGCCAGTGAAATGGAGCAGTGTACACAGCAGACTGAAGTGACTGGTGAGTTATTTGGGTTCAGATGTCACCCAGGAGAGGGCAACTGGCCAGTAGCCATCTTGGAGGGGGGCCAACTAAGCTTGGAACTCAGAGCTGCAGCTGCAGGCGGACTCCATCAGGGTGAGGCAGAACCAAGTTGAAGTTGATAGGATGTCAAGGAGCTGAGTTGAAGCCAAAGAGAGCCTAGTCGAACTGAAGCCAGCAGGAGGCACACAGAATATTAGGCTGAACAAATTCAGTTCCAGCCTCACAGCCAGAAACCTGTGTGAAGTTCAGTGGAATTAAAGGTGCAGGCTTGCTGGGATTATCCACTACCCCATCGTAAAGCTATGGCTGTCTTCCTGGGATTAATCAACACAGATTGGAGATCTGTCTGCCCTCTCTACTAGTGACAGCAAACACATGCCCTGAAGTGGACATTTTCTTCTTCTTTTCTTTTCTTTTCTTTCTCTCTCTTTCTTTCTTTCTTTCTTCCTCCTCCCTCCTCCCCTCTGCCGCTCCTCCTTCTTTTCTTTTTTCCTTCCTTCCTTTCCTTCCTCTCTCTCTCTGCCTTCCTTCCCTTTTCTTTCCTTCCTTCTCCTCCTTCTTCTTGTCTTGTTTTGGTTTATCTTTTTCTTGATTGTTTGTTCTTATGTTTTTATGATGAATGTGAACACTGTTTCTAGTTTTGTTTTCTGTTCTTGTTTTTATTTCTTGTTACTCTCTTTCCTTCCTGTCTTCATCACCAGTTTCCCAAAGTTCACATAATTTTTCTTTGTCCTCCAGCCTGCTTCTAATCTCTTCATCTTCTTCTATTTCATATTTTTCCCCAAACTCCTTTTAAATTTTCTCCCCTGAGGGCAAAATTATCATACAGAGCGCATATTTACTGTATACAATTTTCTGGTTTGTTTTTGTTTTTGTTATTTAACCACAAATTTAATTCATAGAGTTAAAGGTGACAAACTAATAGTTACCACAGTTTGTAATTTTCTAGGATGTGTTTGATGATACTGATATTGCTGACTGTATTACTTTAGCCAAGGTGACATAATTATTATAATCAGTTGTTCTTCCTGGTAGGCCAAGCCCAAGATTGCCTACAGATCATAAACAATACTATATGCCAATACCACAGAACAAGGGGATGGGCCAAATAGGCAGCAACTCCTCATCTCCAATAAATTGAAGAGGTAAGATCTTGCAACAGATTCCAAACTCAAAATCCAGCCACACCTGGAAGACATCTCTAAGAAGTAGTCATTTCAGGCCGGGGATTTAGCTCAGTGGTTCTGTCAACTGCTTTGCAAGCACAAGGTCCCGAGTTTGATTCCCGGTAACAACAACAACAACAAAAAAGTCATTTCCTAACATTTCTAAAAACTAGCAATAAAGATACTAGGCATTAGCAATTTACAAGCATCAACCCAGGAATTAAACTAAAAAACAAAAAAAGAAAGAAAGAAAGAAAAGAAAAAATAAGAAAATGAGAAGACAAACAAGATGTAACCCCACACTTTCAGCTCACCAAAGGCAAACCCAACCCAAGGGGCAATGAGGTGGAACAATTTCAAACCCACATAATTGGGACTCTCTGAAGTGGTAACAGTGGAAGTAACAAAGAAGATGAATGAGGATCTAGAAAAGAAAAATCAAAGCGAAAATAGTGTCTCAGATAACTACAGAGATGATGACTATAATGAAAGACATGCTTAGGGACTCTAGAGCAGATATGGATTAAAAAAAATAGAAGAGTGAGCCAGGGATTTAGTTCAGTGGTTCCAGTGCCTGCCTTGTAAGCGCAAGGTCCCGAGTTCGATTCCTGGTACCAAAAAAACCCCCTCAAAAAACAAAAACCAAAAAACAAAACATAGAGAAGCTTAGGAAAATGATGGAAACCACGATTGACCAACATGAGAAAAAGAATCCATGAAACAGATTCAAACAGATATCCAGGACATTAAAAAGTCCATTGAAAGTATGTATATGCAGTAGAATGAGCCAATGTGAGGGCAGAATATCAGATATAAAAGGATTGTGGTTAGCAGTCATGGTAAGAAAGATTTCTTAAAAATAGCAAGGGACCATAAAAAAATCAATCCAACAGCTGTTAGAGGATGGAAAGAATAACATAAGTTTGATGGGAGTCAATGAAAAAGGAGGAGATAGAGCAAACAACATAAAAAACTTGTTCACAGAAGTAGTGGCAGAAAACTTCCCAAACAGGTTAGAAGAATTTGACATACGGATAAGTGAAGCAAAGAGAACTCCAATTAGCCATGAAAACAAAATTACACCAAGGAATATAACTGTCAAGAGTCCAGAAATTCAACACAAGAACAGAATATTAAAATCTGTTACAGAAAAGAAACAAATCATCTACAAAGAAAAGCCCTTCAGAATCACAGCAGACTTCACAACACTAGCCCTCAAGTCAAGGAGAACTTAGAGTGAAGTATTTCAAGCCCTAAAAGAAAACAATCTCCAACCCAGATTGATGTACCCTGCAAAACTATCTTTCAAAATTGATGAAGAAGGGGGCAGGGGATTTAGCTCAGCCGTTCCACCAAGCACAAGGACCCGAGTTCGATACCCGGTACCAAAAAAAAAAAAAGTAATTGATGAAGAAATAAGACACTTCCATGACAAAGAACACCTGAAGAAATTCAGACCCACCAAACCAGCACCCCAAAATGTTCTCAACAACAGTCTAAAAAGAACTGAGAAGGACTACAACTTCATGAGCCTCAATAGAAAATCCTCCAGGCAAGGGAAGTAATTAAACAGAGGGGGAAAGGGGGGGATCAACAGGAAAATAACATGACAAGGATAAGCCAATATATATCAGTTTTTGTAAAATAATCAATGTAAATAGTCTCAATTCACCAATCAAAATAAATAGGCTGGCAGAATGGATCAAGAAGCAAGATCCAACAACATGCTTCATACAAGAAACACATTTAATTCAAAAAGAAATTCACAGACTGAAAGTTACAGGATGGAAAACAATATTCCATGTGCCAGGAACCTGGAAAAAAACAGGGGTAGCTAATTCTATTTATAGACAAAGTGGGTTTCATGCCAAGACTAATTAAGAGAGGGTAGGCTGTCCTGGTATAGGAGATGTTGGAGACACTGGCAAGTTGTCCAACATTTCTTCAAAATAAAGAATGAAAATGAAGCTCTAACAAAAGTTTGTGAGGCTCCTTTGTTACCCAATTCAAGGAAGGCCATTTAAGAATGGATATCTGGTGGATACCATAATATCAACTCACAGACACAGGTCTGCGCACGCC